CTCTGCAACAGGAATGAGAACAAAGGTAATTTAAGGCTGAGGCTCCCCTATTGTATTAATACTTTCCACACAGGTTGTGACTCTTGTCCCAGGGTCTTGCTGTGCTTTGTAAATATTTACCAGCTCTTGCAACACCCACACAATATGGGTATACACAGCTGGTAGGTGAAGCATAAAGAGGTTAAATACCACACTCAAAATAACACAAAAATCTTAAAGGCAAATCCAGGTTAAAAATGGAGATATAATTTTCCTAGATCTTTAATCTAGCATTCTGGTAACACTGCTTCTTCAACATGGCACAGAAAGTTTTATAAATAGAGTTGCAAGAGTCAGCTTACCTGTACTGAATTCAAGGGGAAAAACAGCCATGGAGTTCAATAAATACTCACGCTCCTGAGCATCAGTGCAGAACTATTTTAAGTTGTTTAATGTATCTAAACAAAGCAAAGAACCTTGTGCTCACAATGTTAAGTCCATACATACCTTGAGGGGGGCCTAAGCCACCTGCGACAGGAAACATGAAGCTGCGGGAAGAAAACAAGGGTAGATGAAAGTCTGTAATTTTAGTGCAAAAATAAATGAATGAAAAAGCTACCTCGGCTTGCACATCAGCACCACCACCCAAAGCCTCCCCGCTCCTGCCCAGCGTATGCCTTTGCTCCTGCAGGTCTCATAGAGCCCAACCCCACCGCAAGGTAAAGGCCACCCCTCCCAGGGATCCCCCAAAGCACCGAGGCGTCCCATCAGCACCATCAGCCCTGTCACAGCCTCCAGAGCTAGGAAGAAATAGATCTTATCCTCCACAGCAGCACTAAAATGGCTTTGACTCATCGACATCGCCCACAAGAGTTTCGGCACCTACGCAGGTCGGTAACAGGTCAGTCGGTTGGCGGAGGTTAGGCCTCCAAGCACCGCAGATGAATAAGCATCTCCTGTTGGAAGCATCTGATTCAGCAAGACCATTAACTGCACCAGACAATAGTTCTCGGCTGCTTAGTAACAGTTCTCTGCACAGAAACACACCATCCACGAAACCCCATCGCTTCTGCCTTCTCCCTGCCCTTCCAAACGCTACGCGTCACAGTGGAGTTTCTCTTTTCTCAATTACATCTAATGACACGAAAAACGGTGCCTTGGAAAAAATTCCAATTCAAGTATCAAGCGCCAAGGAGGAAGAACTGTTAAAATTTCAGCTGAAACCATAATGGAAATCGCTAGCCCTCGCTTTCAGACAGAAGCACGTGTTGCACTGCCAAACGGCGAACAAGGCCCTACTTTGCAAGTCCCATGTGCAAGCAACTCTCCGAAACCCACGTCAGCAGTAATTTACCAAACAAGAACCTCGCTCTGTCCCAGGCAGCAATTACACCAAAATACCATGAAAGAGAAACACACTTATAGGTATTCAATATTCCTCAGCACGAAGGTGGATGTGAAAGAAACTGCCTGAGAGTAAAGAGAAAACGCTACCATAAATGGCTGCAGGCAGGTTTTCAAAACCTGCGGGAAGTTCCGAAAGCCAACCTGGTCTATAAATGTAAAAGAGCTGTGTAATGTGAGTACTAGGATAAAATAAGGAATTTAAATTATGCATTCATCCAGAAGCAAATTGCACCTACCCACTATACAGACAGCAGGTTACACGGTCACCAAGACAACCCACATTACTCTTCATGCCACCCTCTAACTCGGAATCTTCTTAATACTGAAGCTGCTTCTTTTACCCTGACCGCTGTGTGCTAATTCCACAACCGACGCACAACTACGCCTTCCAGCGGGCCCAGGTCTTAGCGGCCTCAACCGCCACAACTTCTGGCCTCTCTCTTCGCAGCGCTGTGCAGAGGCACGTTACCTCACCCCAAAACAAGCGCTGGGCTTCTCGGGACCGGGTTTGGTTCACGCAGTTCACCCTGAGGCCAAGGTCTAGTCACTGACCGGTGTTCGATTTGGTCGTTTTCCACCCCGCTTCTTAGCGTACAAATATTAACATCATGAAGACAAACAGCTAACTGAAAAACCACAGAGGGACCCAGGCCTGAACGCCAGTGCTGGTCAGAAAAGCTGTTTTCCCCACTCAGGGGCTGAAGCCCAGCGAATTCACTGGTTTGCCTGCACTTGGTTTCACCCATGGACAGAGCTGTCGGTACAGAGAGCCTCCTCGGCAATATACCCCCTCAAAACGTGCGCAAGGTCAGACGTGCAGAGCTTCTGCAAGTGCAGCAATTTTAGGCACCATAAGAACACACCATTCTTAGTTTAGTCAGAACGACGAAATACTGAAAGTTATTTTTGAAGCGCTCACAGGTATGGAAAAGTGTTCGTAGCTTCGTGTCTTCCCTTCTTGTCGGGGAATCCGGTCAACAACAATCCTTCCAAATCAGCAAACGTAATGTAAACTGAACAAGCATGGCAAGGTACCTCTGCTCGTTGGAAGCAAATAAAGGCCAGACTATCAAATATTTATCCCGTTCTACAGAGCTCCTGATTTATTTATAAGTCTCTGTTGAAAAAAAACCCAAACCAAATCAACAAAAAAAAACCCTGCAGCTAATTAGAGGGCACTGGAAGAAGAGACAGTTAAAAGCAGCAAAGCAAGCTCCTGCAGCACAGCACCGTACGTGCGGCTCGGGTTCGTCACGGACCTCGCTCCAAGACGTGGCCAACGTCAGCCACACATGCGCGTCCATAAACCCCACCAACCGCTTTAGTCAAGCAACAGGAACTTCATTTCCAAACTACTTTTCGGGGATGCAAAAGAAATGCCCCCACGCATCTAGTTAAAGCGGCTGATCCTCCTCGCCGAGAGCGCGAGTGAAGGCGCAGCCACTTGTGAGAGTAACTGCAGCGCCACAGAAAACCATCGAACTTGATGAACCACATCGTGGTAGCAGCAGCGGCAGAAGTAGCTTTCTTTTAGAGAAAACATTTTCATTCCAGTTATCCCAAAAAAACAACACTGACAGAAGAATTAAACAGACAAAATTAGAACAGTCTCCCTTTTTTTTAAAAAAAAAATGATCAGTTCAGCAGTCTGTTAAGGACCAGGGGCTAAAAGAACACCCGCAGCCAGCAACTGTGTGCTCTAAAGTGACCAAATGCACTTTCCAGCCAATGGAAACCTCTATGACCCCAGATGTCCAAAATACAGATTTGTTGGCTACTATCAAGCATGGGATTTTGATAGTTTCTTACTCCTCGGTATTTCTACAATGGTTTAAACGCACCTGCAGACATTTCTGCTGTTCTCAACAGCAGAAGCGCTTGGCCGCCTAGGCTCATGCAACTAGCCATTGGGTAATACAGCAAAAAAAGTGTAACACAGGTGATACACTGCACAAAATAAAAGAATATAAGGAAAACGAAGCAATTGCCCTACAACAGAACTCTTAAAGTAGTAATATAAATCTGTAAATTCCTATCAGATAAGCATTTTATATATGGAGCTTAAAAAAACCTAAACAAAGCACAAATAGCTTCAGTCAAAATGCAGGAGCATGGGGAAAAGCAACTCCTTTTCTGTCTCGTACTTCACTACAAAAGCTCCAAACTACACAAAACATTTTCCTATCTACAAGTGGGCTTTTAAATCCCTTAATTCCCAATCACTACAACCCTATCAACACAATATAGGCTGTCATAGTATTTTGAACAGCAGAAATCCACAAAAATCGAAGCGAAACAAGGCAAAGCACCCACACAGACACAGAGAACGGAACCCTTCCTCTACCTCCAGGCTTCATTCCCAATGAAACCAGAACACCAACAATGGGAAACAATGATTTTTAAATCCTTTTATTTTTCAAAACCTGTACTCTGCTGACAACATTTTTGTTACTTTCCTATTAAACTGCTGAGCCAGCAGCGTGGCTCTAGGAGGTTAGATGGTTTATCCAAACCCTTGCAAGAACCGTTTGAGATTTATATACGTGGGGAAACACAAAGATGGCATCCCATCCCTCCCACAGCGCACACAGGCAGACACGGACACTTCAGCTTTTCTCTTCCCAAGTATTCCAGACCCCTGGGATGCCTCTTCCCCAGCGCAGAGCAGCGACCTGGCTCAGACAGCTGACAGGGACACCGCACTCCGGTTCAGACCCACCCCTCCTAAAATTCACTGACAAAACTGTAGTCTTCAGTTATCCAAGAAGACTCAATGAACTCAAATTCCCTTTGTCAAATGCAGTATTTCCCCAGCCTCCCTAGAAGTAGGACAACAGATAAATAGCATGCAAGAGACTACGTTCAAAAAAAATTACTCAGTCTTCAAAGGTAGCGAAACACAGCTTCCTAACCTTTCCAAAAACACGACGACATAATCACGAATCTCTTTTACCACTGTTTCTTTCGCCCAAACACCGTTCCTCAGTCCTTCCTCTCCGCTGAACC